ACTTTAGCTTGTTTGGCCAGAGCATGAGTTGCGAACTCTATTTCCAATATCAGAAATTGACTTCTGTTATTAATGGTTTCTTTTGAAATTACTTACTTTTCTAATTCTTGTAGTGATAACAGTTCTCATTTACTTCGGTTCCCTATGTAGTACACAAATTATTGGCATGATTTTGGAGATATATCTAATAGAGATATTTATGTCTCCTTTATTTATATCGCATTACTTTCCGGTTTCTTTTTTTTTTTGTTGTTTTTCTTAAAGGCAAATTAACAAACATCTTAGCATATGATCACAAAAATCAATTAACAAACATCTTAGCAAAAATCCTACAAGAATAACGATGAAAATACTTGTTTAAATCGTATGTCTTCATACAAAACAAACAGAAAATAAAACCCAAAAAACAAAATTCAAGATATGTTACTAAGCTCTTACAATTGACGATCAACATGTCTTTTTTTAAAAAAAAATGTGTATTGAAGGAAGATGTACCTGATAATCAGGAGGAGTGGAAACCCAAAATCGATGCTTTAATGTGCCAATTGTTTAAATCTTATGTCTTCATACAAAACAAACAGAAAATAAAACCCAAAAAACAAAATTCAAGATATGTTACTAAGCTCTTACAATTGACGATCAACATGTCTTTTTTTAAAAAAAAATGTGTATTGAAGGAAGATGTACCTGAAAATGAAGAGGAGTGGAAACCCAAAATCAATGCTTTAATGTGCCAACCGCTTGCACTGGAAATACCTAACCACGAATTTGATGCATGAAATTCATATATTAGAGGCTATATGTAGTGTAGGCATAAGAAATAAGAATTGATAAGGGTATAAAGAAATATTGATAAGAATATTAAAAGCAGTTTAATCTTGATTTAAGTTGCTTAAAGTACGTAACTTTGGGTAGAAATAAGAATCATATAATATTAAGAATTCTTATAGAAAATAACAATTGATATACATCCAAACAAAAGGAGGAGCAAGCGGCCGCAAATATATGATTACGATAGAATGATAATGGGGCGCAAAAAAAGCACCTTAAAATGCCAAGGACGGTTTTATATTTGTAATTAAATTTAGATAGATATTGACAATTGATTACATGCTTATGCAAGGAGAGAGATGAGCTCCATATAGGGCGTATGTTATTTAAAAAAAAAGTGAAAATCATGGAATAAATGAACAAAGGCAAAAGAAGAGAGAGATGGAAGAGTCTAGATTATTTTATAGAGTGTGTTGAAACCATTTGCCTATCGTTAAGCCACGTAGGAAAGAGAAAGCATAAAGTGATACGAATGACAATACAATTTTATTATATATATATATGATTAAATTTAGATAGATATTGACAATTGATTACATGCATATAAAAGGAGAGAGATGAATTCCATATAGGGCGTAGGTTATTTAAAAAAAAAGGTGGAAATCATGGAATAAATGAACAAAGGCAAAAGAAGAGAGAGATGGAAGAGCGTAGGTTATTTTATAGAGCGTGTTGAAACCACTTGCTTTGTCGTTAAGTCACGTAGAAAAGAGAAAGCATAAAATGATAAGAATGAGAATACGACTTTATTATATATATATATATATATATATATATATATATATATATATATATATGATAACACCATCGTACTTTTATTACAATTTGATATGTTTAAAATAAATGGTGACCCAAAAATATATCAAGAAAATATTCTCAAAAAAATTAAAAAATCTACAATAATAGCAACAAAAACAAACTAAAAAGGTCCTTATCTATTCTTTTTTTTTTTTTGGGTGCAAGTAGGATGATCCTACATGTATCCCTTAAAGCATTAATAAATTCTCATTTCTATTAGTAATATATCTGACACGCAAGTAGTTATCTATAATTTAGTCTTTCGCAAACTTCTACTAGTAAAATGATATTTTCCGGGTCTAATATGATATAATTGTTTCATTTACAAAGGTTTTCAATTGTTTACTCAACAAAATGGTGTTTTTGACTCAATGATTTCGAATTTTAAAACAAATTCGCCCTACCCCTACATGCACTTGTCAATACACGTACCTAGGTTTACACTCTTAACATACACTTATCCGAGGATAGAGCATCTTTCATTGTGTGTACGAGAATTTCGGCCATGCATTATACGTAGAACAATAACGACGATATAAATGAGAGGCAAGGAATTAAAGCAAGGAAAGTAGTGTTATCCCATGAAAGCCCCACTACTCTCGACTACTGCTAGTCCTAAGACTAAAAAGCTAGAAGACAATCTTTTTTGGTACGAGGATAAAGTCCTATTCTATTAGGTCAAATTTTGTAAATGCAAAGTCATTATGGAATGATTATTTTGCTCGTATATATATCACAGTCACTCAAGTCAACTTATTTATTTTTTATCTTTCTTCCCATTGTGAGGGATTAATCATAACGGTTTGACGATTAGCCAAGATGTATTTTAATTTTGTGTTTATCTTTAGAAATAATTAACTATAATATAAGAAAGTTAATCATGTCACATCATCAGTCATGCCCCCTTGAACCTAGAAACCTTTCTTTATCTTTTTTTGTATGGAAAGGAAAGAAGAAATAAATTATTATCTGTGGAACCCAAAAAATTCAACAAAAAACATATAGAAGATAAATTTGATAAAATCAATATATATGGGGAGGCAATTTACACACATATTTTATGTGTGTGAGAAGAAAAATAATACTAATAATAATCTATTAAATTACTTCATAAGAACAAAACTCTCAATTCTTCACTTTTCTCAACTAATACAATAACAAGATTCCCTATTTATAAACTTTTTTTTTTTTTAGTGTAAGTAAGAGAATTTGAACCCGAAACCTCACGCTTACACTCCCCCCCATACCACCCAACCCAACCCTCCCCCCCTATTTATAAACTTTATGTGACTTGGTAAACAAATCTTACAATCATAAGAAATTTCTTAATAAATTAAAAATTGCTAAACAATAAAACTATCATAACTTCACTGAAATAAACTACTAAAACTCGATTTGACTAAATACTGTTGCTAAACAATAATATGGAAATTTCTATTTTTGAACCTTGATATAATATGCCAACATTATCAAAAGTTGAACTTGCATTCTACTACGAAATAAACAACTCCGAATAAGTTATAATTATGCTCTTAGTTTTTTGTATTATTATTATTTTGCCATAAGTATGTATACAATAAAGATTCTACCAATTATGTTTTTTTTTTTTTTGGGATGCTTGAAGGCACTGAATCTCAAATGACTGTTTCAGGGATTTCCAGCTTTTCCAACATCTCTTCTGGTTAATTAACAATCTAATCAGTTTATGAGTTAAAGGTTGATATATGTAACCCTCTGCATGCTCATTCTTTCTCACCATAGGAAATTTCAATCTCATTAGAATGTATGCTGATGTTTAATTAACATTAGAATCAACAAGTCTGGCAGATATTCATCCACGACATAAAGTTTTCATTGAAACCTAATAATACTATACTAGATTAAGTTACTAAGCTAGCCTAATTCTATAGCATTACCAGAATAAGGGCTTGAAATCTCCAACACATTACAGGAGCATATCATCTTTCACTAGTTAAATAAATTCAATATAGTTAGCCGCTACACACAAATACATACATGCATACATACATATACATATACATATATACATATACATAGAGATGTATATATATATTTATATGTATATGTATGTGTATGTATACATATATATGTATATGTATATGTACATATATGTTTATGTAGACATGTTTTAAGTAAAAGTAAATCTTTCCTACACTGACAGTGTATATATTATCATCGTTAGATTCATGACATGTGTACAAAAGTTGAATTTCAAATTCAAATTTTGTATAGTTATCATTCATCCAATGCTGATAGTGTATACACTGTTAGTGTAGGAAAGATTAATCCTTTAATTTAAGTAATGGAATAACAAAATCACAAGTTGAATACAAAAATTCCTGAAGAAAAATACTGGGACAGGAAAAAGATATAATGATATCTCTAAAAGCATCATCACTGTAGTAGTACCATGTGACATTTCATCTTCAAAGCTTTCAGTCCTCCGCAAGGCCACAAGATTGTGGAATGATGTGAAACCTTAAAATGATATGAAATTAGGTCTACACCAGCGTTAAAAACCACATATAGTAAAGTTATATGTCGTAATTGGATTGGATTGCATTATTTAGTAGCCAGTAAGGCTAACAATATTATCATCGATCCCATCGTCAACAAATTGGAGCTTTATTTTTGAGGCCGGGGAGGTGACACTTATCTCCTTAATTATGTTACTTATTTCTTCTCTAATTAGATGTCAACTATTCGGACAGAGAGCAAGAAATTAAATAATTTATCTGTATAATGATTTTGAACATATGAAATTTGCGAGAACATTTCTTCATCAAAATTGGATGAGGATAGCAAAAAACATATAGATAACTATTGTTTTTAATAAATTAATGTAAAAATATATTCAAATTGAATGAACGAGCATGATGCATTGCATTTTAGACACAAGAAATATTTCATGTTTTTACATATCTTGTAAATCTCAAATTGCTCTGTCCTTCTTCTCCATGTCGAGTTGAGTCAGGATTCGTTTCCTTTCATTTCAACTTAGTTAGGTCGAACTGTACATCCCATGTTTGATGGCTATCATCAAGACTTGTGTCATAAATCACCTGCTTTAGTATCTTTTGACCAAGAAGAAAAGACGCTTGAGTTTTCTCCCCCTCATATATACACACAGTCACTATAACTTCAGCTCTATTTATTGGTTTGAAAAAGATACTGCTTATTTAAAATTAAAATGTGAAATGAACGATTAATAGCAGGAACCAATTTCACGGCAGCCTATAGTTCTTACCTGCTCACGAGTAACAGAAATCACCTGCTCAGTATGGGATAAATCAAGAAATATAGACGTCCTTATTAAGTCAGTAAATAGCGGAATGAAACATCAAATACTGTTTGATAAGGCCATAAAACTACCAGAGTGTCCATTAATTAGCAGAATGTCTATTAATTAGCACATGTTGCCAACTTCTAATTACAAAATCCTGGAGAAAGCAAATCACCATCGCAGAAGCAATCATGCCCTTCACCAGATCAAGAAAGTTCTTGCTTATCTTATTCTAGCTAGAACTAATCAATCTACTAGCTAGAAACTAATCAATCTACTAGAGATCTATGGATCTCTCGACCATTGAAACGTTTAAAAGCATTCAAGTATCCCTTGATTTATTTAAGACAAGATTGTTCTTATCCTGATATAATTAACCTCCCCAAATATCAAAACCAGATACTGCAAAATCTAGACTTTGTTGAGCACATCATCTCCACCTTGATCTTCCTCCTTGTTGGATTGTGTAATTGAGTTATCTTCATCAGGATTACCACACTTGTACCACTTTGCACAGAAAATGTAGATCACGAAATCAATTGCACTCAGGCAGGCAATGAGGAAGTAGAATTTGTCCATGTGACCTTCATTCAAGTCCTCAGGGATCCATCCAGGTTTGTCACCCTTAGCAGTTATCTGCATCACCATATTAACCAGCATGCTACTGACAAAGTTTCCAATCGAGATTGAAGCCATGCAAAGGGAGCTTCCAAAACTCTTGATTCCATCAGGAGCTTGGCTGTTAAAGAACTCCAATTGACCAACATACATGAACACCTCTGAAGCTCCTACGAGAACATATTGTGGAACTTGACAAAATATGCTTAAAGAGCTGGATTGTTGTCCAGGGATGACTCTTTTAAGTCTTTCAATCTCTGTTACACCAGCTGCAATCATCGCTAGCATTCCTATGATTATCCCAGCTCCCATTCTTTGAAGCTCAGTTATACCTTTGGGATTTCCACTCAATCTTCCGGCCAAGGGGACAAGAATTCTTTGATAAATTCCAGTGCAGAGTAGGACACTGCAAATGTCAAAAGCAGACATGCTAGCAGCCGGAAGATTAAATTTCCCAAGACTTTTATTCATAACTGCACCTTGCTCTACGAACAATGAAGCCATTTGAGTGAAAACCACAGAGTATATAATAGTGCAGAGCCATATTGGAAGCATTCTTATGATACATTTGGCTTCTTCAACCTGAGTGATGGTGCAAAGATTCCACGCACTTCTCTTGTCAAATTTTTCTTCTTCTGTCATTATTGCTGCCTTGTCCAAAAACCTAGCATTTTCACAAACAGGAAGCCAAAATACTTAGATAATTAGAATTAAAACAGGATTGATAACATGCAAAAAATCCATTGTTATGGAATTAGTTTTGAAGTTAATTGAAGATATGTTTATTTACTCACCCGAATTCGTCTGTGTGCAGAATCTTTCTACTTCCTTTAATTACTGATTCTGATCCTTCTACCTCATACAGTTTATCACTATCAACTTGAGGAAGCTTCCATTTTTTTATTGCAGCAACAAATACTTGAGCAACACGCGGCAAAGGGTTACCAAACGGCTTGATATATCGATAGCATGATGAGCCAAGCAAAAATGATGCCAAGGCTACAACAGCAGCACCTGCGGACACCCAAAATCCTAGTGTCCACTTGCCAGTATCCTCATAATATACCAATATGGTATTTGAGAATAGTGAACCAACATTGAGAGCAAAGTAGAAATAGCAAAAGAAAGCAGCTTTGGAGGATTTCTGTTTTGGATTATTCTCATCAAATTGATCTGATCCAAACGTTGCAAGAGTTGGCTGGTGTCCACCATATCCTAGTGCTACGAGATATATTCCTGAATAAAAGATTGCATTGCCAATTGGTGTAGTGGGATTACAATCTAGTATTCCATCACCACATCCAACAGGTTTAACCAGCATAAGCCAGGATGACAATGATACAATCACCAAGCCCTGAAAATTCACGTTAAACATAAATTAGATCTAACCATATCCATGCAGATATAACAAAAAACATATAATCCTTGAAATCTACAAAATCTGAAGTAGTATAGAGAAAAGTTAATTTACCAGAACAAGAATTACTTGAAAGATTGCACAGGTTAGATATCGACCCCAGTATGAATCACTGAGAAAGGCTCCGACAAGTGAGCACAGGTAAACTGTTCCAGTCCATTTGCTGACATTATTGGCTGCAGAGGCATTATCTTGGCCAAGAACTCTGGTTAAAAACAAAACCAGATTTACACTGACACCAAAGAAAGCTAATGTAGCAAGACCTTGATTTGCTGAAGGATGAAAAAAGTAAAAAACCAAAAAAAAAATCAAGAAGATTAATTGATGGTAAGAAATTCAGGAAGATTGAAGAATTATTAAAAACTAAAGTAGCATTATTTTGTTAATTTGGCAGACTAAAATTACCGAGCAACAGAAATGCCGAACTCCAGCCTCCCAGGTGGTTTCTTATAGGTAAGACTCCTCCAATATTCAGACAAAGTTTCTGTTTCTGATCATAGTTGGCAGACCTTTCAACTTCAGATATTTCTTCAAAGACATAGTTCTTCTTGCTTGCTTGTTCCTGAAGAATAAAGAATCAATATTCTGGATCAGTAAAGTTTAATTTACAGATTCATATTTTAGTAAGAAATACAAAATTATGTCCTGAAACTAATTACTACTTCAAGTATTAGCTATTGAGATTCAACTGAGCCTCAACTCATCTGTTAGGTATTATAGAAATTTTTAACCATCTTGAGACATAGTATGAAACAGGTGTTAGTGAATGCAAATTGGACCTAAGTTGTGGAAAAAAGGCTGAGACGCGGTCACAATTTCAAATTTGTGAATTCTACTTGTATTAGATAATAGACATGCACAAATTTCTGAATGCAACTCAATTTTTTTTAATATTTTTTTTCTTTTTTGTTGTGATTTAAGAAAGGGAATATTCGAAATAAATTACAAAAAATGGTAGAAGAATTCAAGACCATTACTAGATCACAATGAAAAGGACAGTTCGAAAATACTATGAAGAGAATTTTGGACACTATTGTACTCACAAAAAGTGGGTGATATGACACCCGAAAAGCACAACCATGTTTCAGTAACGCTTCAGTGACTGCAACAAGAGCAAATTGACTCATTGATCCAAAAAAAAAACATGAATTCTCCTCCAATATGCTGAAGTGAAAAAAAAAAGATGAAAAAGAAAAGAATGAGAAGGGATATATCCTCTACCTTTTGTGAGATAGCCGTGTTTAGCGAGTCTATCGTAGCCATGTAAGATTTTGTCTGCAAATTCTGCAATAAGAAAAGGAAAAAGAAATTCAATAGTTGCTGCAAAGAAAGACAAAACTATGTCGAAAACTTAGCCAAAATTTCTCTAAGGGTAACAAGCATCAAAGAAAAACCAGTAAGTTATTTTCTAATGAATAATACTTCAGTATTGTCTTTCTTTTTTATTGATGAATACAATACTATATTCAATAGGTTAAGATGATGCTAATAAACTAAGAAAGAAGTGAATCAGGCAAGGTCAAAGTATGAGAAGAATGCCTTATAGACGCCAGCTGACACTTAGGAAGTTGTAAACTTGATCAAGAAAGCAAGTCAGAAAGAAGAAGTTTGATGCACCTTGTGCAAGACATCGCCAATTTATAGCAATGTAAGAAGAAATGGTGATGTGGGGATGACAGTGTGAGTCTTTTTCATAATTATCTATCTTTCTTCAAGAAAAATATTGTTCTTTGGGATAAAAGGAAAAAGAAAAATGCTGACATGTAGCAAGATGGGTATTCATTGAAAACCTTAGTGCTATAAAAAATTGCTGATCACAAGTTTTGCAGAACTGTCCCAATCAGTGGATTTTTATGAGTCCCTACATATAAGAATGAGGTAGACAATGTTCTCTTCTATGGTTTTTTGTTTTACAATTTTTTTAAAAGATTGAAGTGCTTTTTTATTTTGTTAATTAACTTTTTGCATCACCAACCATAACAAACAGTTCAAATTAATAACTCTTCTAGAACAGCATAAAAGTTGCAAAATGGAATCAAACAACTTCAAGGTCCCTCTCAAACTTTATGGTTAAAAGCTAACCTTCCATTTATATGATCACAGCAGCCAAAAAAATTCCCATACTAAGCATACAAATTTCAGGTATATGACAAGAAAATTAGGAAAAGATGAAAAGTTAATAGGCTAGAAATTCTGATCTAATTGGCCTAACCTAATTACAACAATGAATTTAAAAATTATTGCAGATATTCTTTACTTAGATCATGCAATAATTGATCAAATAATTCTTCTATTTAGGTGTAACCTAACATATAGTATTTTTTTGCTGGTACAAGCAAAAAAAAAAAAAAAAAATTTGTCATTTACAGAACCCTCAAATAAAGACACATGCAAAAGCCATAAACAAAATATCTTAGAAAACATTACTTTAAAACATTATCAAGTTCACAAACCTTTTCTTAAATTTGATTACTGAAAGTAATATGAATTCCGGAGTGTTTCCGGACTCCGGCGAAGGCGAAGATCGCGTATCAACTAGCCCAAGTGGCCGTGCAGCCAAGATGCTTAGTCTAGGACCTCCCGGAAAACTATCAAAGCCGGTTAAATCTATTGACATTTACGGGGACAAAAGATTATCAAATTGTTGACACAGATAAGCCTGTGAATCTCCACCACTTTCTCTGTATTTATTCAAGAATTCTATACTCAAAGGAAATTTAGATTAGAGCTATATTTTGAGAGTTTAGGGAAACTGAAACAAGAAAAATAGTGATTGAGACTGGAATTTTAGAGACGAAAGGAAAGGAAGCATATATAGTTATAGACAAAATTATGAACTAACGTTGTTGAATCAGTCTTTCTAAGGATTTTTAGTGTAACAAACTTGCTTAAATTTAGGTCCGGTTGTTCCTGAGATGTCTCAAAGTAAGTAGAAGTAGACTTTGTGTGAGATCAGGACTCCAAAAAAAATAAAAACTTCTCTTCTCATTTTATTTTGTTTATTATTTATTTATTAAGTTTCGTGAGCCTAAAGTTTCTCTATGCCTATGTTCTTCGTATTCTCCTTTTTTTTTTTTCTCTAATACAGTGAGATTTTCCTTCCAAAAGGAGACGAAAAGAAAAGAAATGAAAAGAAAAAGAGCCATGTCACTTCTAAATGCATTTTTTTTTAATCTTCGAACGCGAAGACAAAGAGAATTGCTGTAGTTGTAGATACGAACCATGTAAGATACATTGTCTGTTGATAGGTTAAAATAAATGTACAATGCGTAGATCCCACTTTTTGATAAACTATTCTTGGCCTGATAAGCACTAATAATAACAAATCGTAGTAGTATTGGATACTTAGACAGAATGGTCATTACGCTTATCGAACTCATAAGTAGATCTAAGAACTCGAAATTGAATTGGCTTTTACACATTTATTTTTTGTGAATTGTTATATTCTATTTCCTTTTCAAGAGAGAGTGCATTTCAAGATAAACCTTTTAGAGCATTTTCAACCATCTGTTTCAGAGTTTGAATTTGACAATACACAAAGTTTGAATTTGATAGTACCATGAACCTGATAGTTGGAAATGAAAAGGAGGTGAAGACGGAATAGAGAATTGAAAAATAGTTAAAAAAAAATTCTATTCCCTTTGTATTGAATTAGATATCCAATAATGAGGCTTTAATCATTGAGTATGGTATTATGATAGACAGGTTAAAATTACAAGAGAAAACGTGAAAAAAAAGGTTCAATACATTCGTTTAGTTTTTTTTTTTTTTTTTTTTCAATTCTATATCTCTAAAGTCAGAAAGTTATGATTGTTTTCATCCTTTAAAAATTTAACTTGTACTTTTTCACCACAAGTTAATACTTATCTCCATTCTTTGTCAAGAAGGAAGCTATATGTCTGTCTTAGTCAACTCTTGCTGAAACACAAAACATGTAAGCACCATGGAGGGGCAAAATTTTGAGCCACATAAGGATAAAAGCAGATACAGTAAATTTAGGTCAATAGTTGAATACTCATATCAAGTTTTGAAGTACACTGCTTATGGAATAAGCAGAAAATGCATTCATAGGAAACCAAAGAAAATGTGATAAGGACAACTCCATATATCACAATTATCAATTACAGGACTTATCAAATCAAACATGGGAAGAGTCCTTTTCTGTTGAGCAATCTCTCGTTGAATCTTGGATGAGAACATGGGAAGAGTCCTTTTCTGTTGAGTCATCTCTCGCTGAATCTTGGATGAGTTGTCTTCCACTTGTAATATTCCCGGGTTTGTAGACGTTAGCTCAAATATTTCAAAATCAAGAATCAGTTGATTTAACTAGTCTCCTGTTTTTTGCCGCAAAAGGTGTAATATGTAAAATGCCAATTAACAATTTTGTAGGAACACAAATTGGTTGAGGTTTTTTTTTTTTTTGAAGGAACAAATTGGTTGAGTTAGTAAGATCGTATTCCTTTTTTACAGTAAACTACTCGTGATTCTTGAAACATGTTTTGACTCGTGATAGTGATTGAAACCGAACCAACTCAATTTTCTCTTACAAAAAAAAATAACAATTTTGTTCAAAAATTTTCACATTGGAAATAATGACCTAAGGCCACGGACACAATACTTAACTTTATTTTTTTTCGAAACGATAAGTTGTTTTATAGAGACACTACAATCGTTATTTTTACATTTGATTAATTACTTCCACAATGAACTTCAAACTTTAAAAAATTTTACCACTTAAGGTCGAATCAAAGAGTGTCTTCAAAGAATTATTAGACTTTTTTTTTTGGTAGGGGAGGAATGAAATTTAAAAGATAGGGAAGAAAAAGAGAAATTTATACCCAGCACTCCTCTAAATAATGGGTTCCAAATATTTTATGTACTTTGAAAATTGCATTAGTGGATAATCTACTTATAATCTCCGAAATTTATCCTAGCAAAAACTTTGAAACCACCAAAACTTTTTCTTACTAGAAAAAGAAAGACAAAGTTGCCAAGATGTTTTTTGGGTTTACAAAAGGTTTTACTATCAAATATCTTTACCTTATAAAATGCTTGATTAGCTTCATCAGTTATCATGCAAATTGCATCTATTATGCTTTTAGCATTTCCTCCACGTCCTGAGTCCTAACCATGAGGTTAACGCTTAACAATCTAATGACTTGATTCGCACACATATTATGTACTTTATCAATTTTGAACTTTACTAAAATTGGTGTTTGGATACCCGTTATTTGGAAATTTATTCATTATAATATTATAATACTTTTTACAATGCAACGTATGTGAAATAAAATAATAGTTAAAACGATAAAAAGATAGTTGGAAATTGGTTTACACTATAGTACTTTTTACAATTAGCCTATAGATGCATATATTAGTCAACGGTGCTATTTCAATCTATCGAATTATTAAGACCGATAAATTTTTTCTATTTATTTATTTTTTGCTGAGAAATTAAAATTGATAATTTTTTCTTGGAGCAACTTGTACATATTGGGAAGTTATTTGTTGGAAAATCTACTTTTGACCATTGAAGTAAACCATGAAAGATTTGTTATACAACCCACACATGCTTTGAGTGAGGAACATGATTTGCTGGATGAACATACACACACACTGCATAAACATGCCCGCGCACAACACACGACACATATTTATTCAAACTATGATCTGGAAAATAGTCATCAAAGATTTGCAACCCTTTGGTTCCTTTTTTTTTTTTTTTTGGTAATATTGTAAACCTATTTTGCATTTAGTAAGCTTTTAGTTTAATTTTCTTTTTTCGTGTTATGCTTTTACTTTGATCAAAAACATTATTTATCATGCTGAAGAATCCACTTTTTAACACCTCGAGGAATTTAATCATGCCAATGACTTGAAAGATGAACTAATTATTGTAGTATTTTTTTTATAATATAATACATGTGATATAAAAATGATGATTAAAAATATTTAAAAAATAATTAAAAATTATGTTTATAATGCAAGCAAAATAACAGCAAATCAAACTTGTCCCTCCAAACACTCTAAGACTATATCTAATATCTCGTCCCATTCTAATTTCTATGTCCTCATTCCATATACATACATATTTTTTTTTTTTTTGGGGACGTCGGCAATATACATGCATATGCATATGTGTGCACTAATAAACATATGTAAATTTGCCAGATAGACCTGTCAGAATCGAATGTTTCCTTTTCTTTTGAAACTTTAGTCAAGCCATGATTTTTGCATGGCACAGAAACTTCAATGCACCAAAGGCTCAGCATTTCGCCCAAGCAAAATTTATTGGCTGACCTAAAATGATGAAATTTTGTACAAGTGCGTGAGCATGTTACTCAGTGGCCAACAGATTTCACTGTTTTGCAGTCTGCCAAATTCCAAATGCAT